TTTTATTATCCTTCTATATCTTTCTGATTCCATCTATTTTCGTCTATGTCGGTCTATAACCATTTCTATAACCTTGTATATCCTTCTATACTCTTCTACATGCGTCTATATGTGCCTATATCCGTCTATATCTTTCTGAAATTTTTTGACGAAATTTGAAAACTACTAAAAGTCGGTCTGGTCTATTTAAACGAACAGTTCTTCAGGATCACGAATTTGTGTTTATTTCTGCTCTGCAATCAAGAATATTGAAGAAAATCCCTACTTTTTGACGGAATTTTAAAACTATTCAATTTCTATATCCTTCTGTATCCGTGTATATCTCTTCATATTTTCTATGTTCGTCTATATCCTTCTGTAAAGTTCTATATCCTTCTATTTGCTTCTTCATCTTGATCCATCTTCCTATATCCTTCTATATTTTTCTAAATTATCCTTCTAAATCTTTCTAAATCCGTCTATATCCGTCATTATCTTTCTACAAACGTTCATATATATGTCATTCTATATAATATAACCTTGTATATTCTTCTATGTCCTCCTAAATCTTTTTATATCTGGCTATGTCTGTCAACATCCTCCTATATCCGTCTACATCTTTCTGAAATCGTCATTTTTTTGACGAAATTTTAAAACTACTCCATTTCTATATCCTTCTATATCCGTGTATATCCTTCTGTATCCGTGTATATCCCTCTACATCTTCCTAGGTTCGTCTGTATCCTTCTGTAAACATCTATATCCTTCTAAATCCTTCTTCATCTTGATCTGTCTTCCTATATCCTTCTATATTTTTGTAAATTATCCTTCTGTATCTTTTTAAATCCGTCTCTATCCGTATTTATCTTTCTATAACCGTCTATTTCTTCTGTATATAACTTTCTATATTCTTCTATATCCACCTAAATCTTTTTTTATCCAGCTATGTCTGTCTACATCTTCCTATTTGCGTCTATAGATAGCTTTCTTTATTTTTTTATATCTCTACATCCTGCTATATCTTTCTATGTCCGTCTATATCTTTCTGAAATTCCTTTCTTTGACGAAAGTTTAAAAGTGCTAAAATCGGTTTGGTATATCTAACCAAAAAGTTTTTCAGGATAACGAATTTGTGTTTATTTTTGCTCTAAGATCAAAATAGTGGAGAAAATCTCCACTTTTTGACGCAATTTTAAAATTACTCAATTTTTATATCCTTCTATATCCGTGTGAATCCTTCTGTATCTGTGTATGTCCTTCCATATCTTTCTATGTTCGTCTACATCCTTCTGTATGCTTATCCATCTTCCTCTATCTTCCTAAATTAGCTTTCTATATCTTTCTAAATCCGTCTATATCTCTCTATAACCTTCTATATTCTTCTATATTCACCTAAATGTTTTTATATTTGGGTATGTGTGTCTACATCCTCCTATATCCATCTATATCTCTCTATATCCTTGTATATCTTTCTATATATGTCTATATCTTTCTGAAGTCCCCCTTTTTGACCAAATTTTAAAACTAGAAAGATCTGTCTGTGCTATCTAAACGAAGAGTTTTTCAGGATCACGACGAATTTGTGATTATTTTTGCTCAAGAATCAAGAATAATGGAGAAAATCTCCAGTTTTAACGGAATTTTGAAATTACTCAACTTATATATCCTTCTATATCCGTGTATATTCTTCTTTATCCGTCTATATTTCTCCATATCTTTCTATGTTCGTCTATATCCTTCCGTAAACGTTTATATCCTTCTATATGCTTTTCCACCTTGATCTATCTTCTATATTTTTCTACATTATCCTCCTATATCTTTCTAAATTGGTATATATCCATCATTTTCTTTACATAATCGTCTATATCTCTCTATAATCTTTTATATTCTTCTATATCCTACTATGTCTGTCTACATTCTTCTGTATCCGTCTATATCTTTCTGTATATCTCTATGTCCTATATATTGCTAAGATCTCCCTTTTTGACGAAATTTTAAAACTACTAAAATCGGTCTGGTTTATCTAAACGAAAAGTTTTTCAAGATCACGAATTTGTGCTTTTCTTGCTCTACGATCGAGAATAATGGAGAAAATCCCCACTTTTTGACGAGATTTTAAAACTACTCAATTTCTATATGCGTATTTATCCTTCTGCATCTGTGTATATCCCGCCACATCTTTCTATGTTCGTCTATGTCCTTCTGGATGCTTCTTTATCTTCTTCTATCTTCCTGTACCCTTCCATATATTTCTAAATTCGTCTATATCCGTCATTATCTTTCTATAATCGTCTATATCTTCCTATAACCTTCTATATCTATATCCTTCTATATTCTTCTATATCCGCATAAATTGTTTTGTATCCGTTTATATCTGTCTACATTCTCTTATATCTTTCTGTATTTTTCTATATTTATCTATATCCTTCTATATCTTTCTATATCCGTGTATATCTCTTCAATCCTTCTATGTTTGTCTATATCCTTATATATACATCTATATTCTTCTCTATCTGTCTATATTTTTCTATGTTGCTATATCTTCATTTATCTTCCTATATACTTATAGTTTCGTCGATTACCCTCTATATCTTTATTATCTTCCATTATCGTTCTATATATTTCTGTACCCTTGTATATCCATCTGTATTTTTCCATATTCTTTAATTTCTGTCTATATCTTTCTACATATATTCGTCCATATTCCTCTATGTCAATCTATAACCCTCTATATCTATCTATAACGGTTTACATTTCCGGCTCGGAGAGACGTCTTTCTAATCGGAATTCGTGTTAGGATCACGAATCTGTGCTTATTTTTCGCTTCGGGTAGTAATAACAAAAAAAAATCCCGTTCTTGACGAAATTTTAAAACTACTCAACATATTATTAAATCTAGTCTTTACGATATGCCGAATTACTGACTACTTCCAGAACGTTCATGAAAATTTGTAAACATATAGTGCTTCAACTAGATTAAAATTAATGGATTTGTAATTTAAGAATTGAAATGATGTATAATAATAACAATTCCATACCAAAATTGACGTTTCACACTGCATTCACCCACTCTAAAATTTTGCTTAAATATCGCCATCCCACGAATTTCACGACACTCACACTTAAGTTTTTCTTGTCACTCGGTTTCTGTGGACATTTTTCCACGGTCGGTCGAACGGTTTCAAGGTATAACCAAATTATTTCTTAACAGTTATTTTGACTTTTCGTAGTCGTAATAGATCGGTTGGGAAATAATTATCACCTATGAACGTTACTGTAAAAGTGAAACCTTAATTAACACCTATGTTTACCTCACCAAGAACAATTTGAATAATTAGGTATTCCGGAATGTGTACAAATAACGATGAAACGTTTTAATATTAGGCATAATTTCCCGATCTAAAAATCCCGATATTCATGAAAGTACGACTCGAAAATTCCCAAAGCCATTTCGTTCCAAATGTCAGTTGTCCAAGTTTACGATTCGGCGTCATTTTCACCTAACTCCGCAAATAATTTTTTACGAGACAAAGCCGGAACCCATCGATATTTGCCTACTTCTTCCAGCGGCACGGAAAGTCGGGGCGCCACATAAACCGGATGAGACTTATAAGTTATTTTCTCCCTCGATTAGAGAGCTTTTATGTGTATAAATTCGGGTTAAATATCCGGCGCGGGATCAAAAACGAGAAAGCACACTTTTCTTTCCGACTGCGGTGGTGAGAGGTCGTAAATTACATTTCGCAATAAACCAGACTACAAATTGAATATTAGATTGGACTTATTCACGATGGTGTCTGAATACGGCTTGGTTTACATTCAACATGATAAATATCGAGACATCGCCGCAAGGATTAATCGTGGCCCTTCTATCACGTTAGTCCTCGGCCTGCGTCTTTGTCTTACACGTATCCCAACGATAATTCGCCCCGACATTCGGGATTAAATTATGCCACAAATTGACATATTCGGTAATTACGGAAGCTGGATCAAAGTTGGACTAATCACGGCCCAGCGGCGACGCGACCGCCACTTGCCAGGTTCGTCAACCTTTTAGGGCCACTTCAAAGCCAACTGGACACAAAAAGAGCTAATGACGATTACGCATCAAAAGTAACGAAGTTATTCAAGTGGACATTGCTAGGCGCCACAGAAAGACTAGAAATCGTTACGGAAATATACATTAGTATTCAAACAGGTGATAACGCCTCATAAAAATTATATAAATGTGCGACGTTATCAATCAACATGTTGCTTGTCACGTGGTCGGCTTGTAATAAAATTTTACGACCGCTGCAAACATGCTATAAACTAATTTGTTTGTTTAAAAGTCGTATAACTCTCTTAGTTATCTATAGTACGACAGTGTTGAACAATTTTTAATGTTTTGTTTGAAGTTACATTTCTGGACGCTCTAGTCCGCCTAGAAACCTCTAAAAATGAAGCGATCGCAACAGATTTTAATAAATGCCGTCCTTAAATTGCCTACGAGCTTCGAATAAATTTAATTTTCTCTACACAGAATCCAGGCCGGCTCTTTTAACTCTCCATAAGTCAAAAGTGAACGCTCCCGCTATTGCCTTTGACTCGTAGCGTTAATCATGTAAATCGTGAGGAAAATACGGCGTTCTTGATCGACTGAAAAATGCACGCAACAGCCAAACAACTTAATCAAATTAGTCCGAAAACAACTTTTATGGACACGATAAATTTTGAGTGGCGACTTCCATTAATTATCCGGATCAGAATCAGGCGAATTTAATAAATAGAAATCTTGCTGGTGGCTGTCTTCAAGTGAAAAAAATACGTCCGGGAGGATATATGTTGGTATTGTGTTGAACATGGAGGCTGAAAACGAAATGGAACAATGGAAAAACGTAAATTTTATTTGGAAAAGCGTTTTCCTAAATTTTGTGGGAGGATAGTCAAACTTAATGGCTTGGTTTTATTGAAGGAAACAGACCAAAATGAGAGTTTTAGTATTCAGACATAAATTACGCTAGATTAAATGGGAAACTCACCTGAGATACATGGTCCTTGGTTCGGGATGATGTTTGTGTACCTGAAAACAAAGTCGTGCGTGAAACATTATATTATTTGTCGAAGTTGGCATTTTGGGTTTTGTTAATTGGGTTAGGTTCGAGTCAAATTTGTGTAATTACGCTGTAAATCTAGTAACGTGAAGTAGGGTATTAATTAACACGAGAATACAGATTGTTTTTCGTGATGTATAAAATTCGTAACATAAAAATTCCTTGTAACAATCCAGTAAACAGACATTAGTTCATTAAAATGCCTGTGCGCTTAATTTATTTACATATCAGGGTGTAGCCACTGAAATGTGTATGAGCATCGTCACGGATCTGGTATGAATTCCGATAGTTATAGTTTCATATCTACCCATATCTACATGCAAGTACGTTTCTCCTGGGAGGTCCTCTGTATACAAAGACCAACAATATCAGACCTGCTTAATGTGCTTATTAACGCTAAATAATTGACGTGTGTTCAAATTGTTGACGTAGGATTAAGGCTGAGCTTTTACCTGTTTTGGGGTTGCGAACTAACTTTGTTGTAACATTTACCCGAATAATATTTACGTTTCGTGACCCCTAGACTACGAAAAAATAGGTCTTCCTATGCGTCAATTTTTCCGTTACAACGCTTTAATTGTTCTGCAAGTACATCTGCCAACGGTACTTTTTTTTTCAGTTTTAAGTTACCAGGTTCTGTGATTCGTTTCCTCGACAAAGTTTAAATTTTGGGGAAATTTTCAAAACGATTAATTAAATTTAAATATAATTAATATTAATTATAATGTTTAAATATGATAAGCATCAATATATGATAATTAAACCGAAACTCGTTTAAAAAAAAATTATAAATTTGTCTAATCATCCCCACCAATAATGTGATGACGTCACTTCAAATTTATGCATAGTAAATGGGTTTTAAATTGTATACAGTAACATAGTCCTACACATGTAGTTTATGACTCCGTGTTGAATTTTTATCCGAAACGTCCAGATTTTTGGAAAAAAAAATCAAAATTATAAAACAATATTTTGCAATTTAATTTTGAATTTGCAAAATCGAATACTTTGAAATCTTGCAGATGTTTTAAAGTCATGATAAACATGATACATTTTTTATTAAAATATATTTGCTTATCCCCTCTAAAAAATTTATGACGTCACCTCAAAATTTTGCAGAATAAATCCTATCTTAAATGTATAAAATATGATGAGTTTTTATACTTGTGATTTATCACTGCATTAATATTTTTTTAGATTTGGTTATACAGGGTGTCTCAAAAAAGTTAATGACTGAGTCAATTTGTTTTATTGAAGAAATCAAGAATAGCAAAACTGAATACTTTGAAATATTGTAGATGTATTAAAGTTTTTGTAAGCATGGTAACTTTTTCGAAAATTTGATTAATCAAATATGCGGCAAATCGAAAATCGGAAAAACTGAAATTCACTAATGCAAAAAACAGAAAATCGAAAAATACAAATCGTAAAAATCGAAAATCTAAAAATGGATAACCAAAAAATCGAAAATTCAATGAATCAAATACAGGAGGTCGATCGAAAAGTGGAAATTCACAAACCTCAAAAATCGAAAAATCGAAAATTGAAAAACGGAAAAACCAAAAAATCGAAAAGTCAAAAATTTGTAATACTGAAAATTTAAAAAACCAAAAACAAAAATTAAAGACAATCGAAAATTAAAATAATCAAAATATATAAAGTAGAAAAAATTGCAAAGCCTAAAAACTGAAACGAACAGAAAAATCGAAAAAGTAAAAAATTGGAAAAACAAAAATTCGAAAAATCTAAAATCGTAAAAGTGGAAAATCGAAAATCTGAATAAAGAAACTTGGAAATTCTGAAAAGCGGAAAATAGAATATCGAAAAATTTAAAAGAAAGAAAATTGAAGTCTAAAAACCGAAGAATGGAAAAATTAAAAATCAAAAATTCGAAAAATCAAAACCGAGAATTTCAAAGATTTAAAAAGGAAAATCGAAAAATCAAAAATCTGAAAATTGAAACTCGAAAATTCGGAAAATCAAAAAGTAAAAAAATTGAAGTCTAAAAGCTGAAGAATGGAAAACTGAACAATTGAAAATTCGAAAATCAAATATCGAAAAATCGAAAAGCCGAAAAATCGAAAATTTGATGAATCAGATATGCGAAAAACAGAAAATCTGAAAATACAAAACTGAAAAATCGAAAATCTAAAAATGGAAAAACCGAAAATTCAATGAATATAATACGTAGGTCAATCGAAAAACCGGAAATTCACAAATCTGAAAAATCGGAAATTTGCAAGATTGAAAAACCGAAAATTGAAAAATCAAAAAACCGAAAAATGGAAAATTCAAAAATAGAAAAATAAGTAAACAGAAAATTCGAGAATTCATAATATTGAAAACTCTAAAAGTCGACAATTCAAAAATCGAAAAGTAAACAAATTTCAAAGCCTAAAAAGTGAGGAACAGAAAAATCGAAAACTCGTAAAATCATAAAGTGGAAAATCGAAAACTGGAAATTGAAAAATCGGAGATTGGAAAATCGAAAATCGAAATATCGAGAATCGACAAATTAAAAAACCGAAAAATCGAAAAATTAAAAAATCGGAAATCGAAAAATGAAAAAAAAAACGAAAATTCAAAAATCGAATAATCCGAAACTAAAATAATAAAAAGTGGAAAAGTAAAAATTGCAAAGTCTAAAACTGACGAACAGAAAAATGGAAAAATTAAAGAAAAACGAAAAATATCTAAAACTGGAAAAATCGAAATGCTCAAAAATCGAAAATTCGATTAATCAATATTCTAAAAATCGAAAAAACGGACACAAATCCACAAATCTGAAAAATCGAAATATTGGGACTCGAAAAATTAAAAAAACCGAAAAATTGAAAAATCCCAAATCGAAAAATGAAAAAACCAAAAATTCAAAAATCAAACTATCGGAAAGTAAAATAATCGAAAAATGGAAAAATAAAACAAATCGCAGAACCATAAAAACTGAAACAAACAGAAAAATCGGAAAACCACAAAATCGGAAAAACGAAAATCGAAAAATCGCAAATCGAAAAATCGTAAAATCAGAAAATGGAAAATCGAATACTCGAAAATTGAAAAATCGAAGGTCGAAAAATAAAAAAATCGAAAAATCGAAAAATTTAATGATCAATGGAAAATCGAAAAATCGAGAATAGAAGAATTAAAAAAACGGAAAATTGAAAAATCGGAAATCGAAGAATTAAAAACGTAAAATCGAAAATTCAAAAATCAAAAAAATCGGAAAGTAAAATATAATCGAAAAATGCAAAAAAATTGCAGCAAAGTCTAAAAACTGACCAACAGAAAAATCAACAAATCGAAAATCCGAAAACTCGAAAATTCAAAATACCGCAAATTTGAAAAATCAGAAAATGGGAAAGTAAAAAAATCGAAAAGTTGATAGAAAAATGGAAACTGAAAAATCTAATTAGATGAAACGGTTGGTCGAAAAAACGAAAAATCAAAAATCGAAGTGATCTTTTTTTGAGACAGCCTGTATAAGTAAATCTAAAAAATACTACTGCAATGATAAATCACAGGTACTGACTCATCATATCAAATTTTGCCATGACGTCATGCATTTTTTTGACGAAGATAAGCAAATATTCTCGATTTTAATAGAGCAGAATAGGTTTTTTTTTTCTAATTTTATAAGTTACGGAAACTAATAGCACATCACAGATATTGCAAAAAAAAATAGGCTCAGGTTCCGACTAATTGACAAGATTTCAAAGTATTCAGTTTTGCAATTCTTGATTCCTTCAATAAAATAAATTTACTCAGTCATTATTTTTTTGAGTCACCCTGTATGTATAAACAAATCCAAAAAATATAAATGGAATGGTAAATCACAAGTATAGACTCATCATATTCTGAACATTTTAGATAGGGTATTTATAAAATGAAAACTAATTCAGAGTAAGAATTTGGTCAACACGTAAATTTCGTTGTAGTTTGAGCCTACCTACAAATTCTGCCCTTGGACGATTTGTACAGCCTCCTACCGGCAAAAACGATCCGCCCATAGGCTCAAAACATTTGCGTGCGATTGTACGATGACGTTAGTGTCACGTGAGCTACCTGATAAAAGTAGGGCTCTTTTCATGAATTTCTAATTTATTATTAATAAATATTAGTGAAAATTTGTTGTATTAGTACTGTGAACACGAACGAAGATGGATATTTTTCCGAAAACGACCGAAATCAGAGTAAAACGATTGAAATTGGTTGATCAAAGCTATAATACAATTTCACAATATAAACAAATACATTTTAAATATAATTAATATTATTTATAATGTTTAAATATGATAAGCATGAATATACGATAATTAAACCGAAATTTGTTGTCCTACAAGTCCGAAATTATTAAAAACAAATCAATTCGTTTAAACAATGTTAAATTATCCCCGAAAATGTGCATTTTCCCGGCCAAAATATGAAAAATAATTTTTGCAATCTCTCGTGACGTACGATGACGTCAATGTCACGTGAGCTACTTGTATAAAGGTCACGTTTCGCGGTCCTTTGTATTCAGTATTAATTTCTGTTTGATGACGGCAAGATCGTCGCGTCATTTTGGCGTAAAAGTGGAGCGTTTTAGCGAATTTCTAGTTTATTATTAATACATATTACGGAAAATTTGTTGTGTTAGTGCTGTGAACACGAACGAAAATGGATATGTTTCCGAAAAGAATCGAAAACAGGGTAAGTACGATTTCAGTTTTAATTTATCGGATTCCGTGATTCGTTTATTCGACAATGTTTAAATTTTGGGAAAATTTTCGAAACGATTGAAGTTGGTGGGTCAAAGCTATAGATTTTCGCGATATAATTAAATAAAACTTAAACAGAATTAAAACAATTCATAATATATAATAATATGCAATTAAGATGGCGTCTGTCAGCAAAGTTGGGTTAGGAAGCGATCCTACTCAAATAGTGAATAAACAATGTAATAAATGCAAAATTGAAGTTGTGCATGCAT